TGCCAGCAGTTTACAAACAAGGATGCAATCAGTAAGATGAAGATTCTGCTGATATCTGGATTGCATTTGAGAAGCAGAGAGAGAAAATCAGATGGAGTTCCACTACACTCCTGTGCTAAGCCTCCCACCTTCAGCCTTGGTTACTAAATCTGCATTTTGTGGATTGTGAAAAGCTGGTTTTAAGGAAGAAGCTGTAGGCACACAGCTGTTCTGTAAGTAATATTTGTCATAAAAAATTGCATTATTAAATTATTTAATCTGCTGTTTACCAAATAGTACAGTGCACGTTATTGTTAAACATTTATCAGCTTGGTTAATGTATTTTCCATGGATCTTTATTCCTTGCTTTAAAAGTTTAATTTACATTATTCATTGTTTCCAATTCTGGGATCATTTGTTTGCTTTCTTAAACATGTATATTTTGAAAAATAATTGACACTGTAATATGTTCATCTCTTTTTCCAATCTTACAGAGTCACAAATTTGAGTTATTATATAAACATACTTATACTTGCTTTTTCATTGTTGATACTTTGTTTACAGACAAAGAGAAGCCTGACTATTGTATTCGTTGTCTGGCACTACTGTTATTCTGATAAATAACCAAAAGCCTTACAAGTGTGCTCCTAGGCTAGTACTGCAGTCACCCGATTATAGTGAACCGCTTGAAAGAGATTTATTGAAAAATAATATATGGGACAAATGCAAAGAAAGGGCAGGTTTAGCACTCCAATGCAAACATTAGAAAGGCTTCCTAACACAATTGCTGAATTTTACTATTTTATTAGTGTCTTTTATCCACAAGCTGCAATAGCTTAGTAGGTACTCTCGTTAGCAGCCCCACCCAAAAACTGAGATCCATACAGTTTCAGAACCCATTCTTTTTAAAAAATGATCTTTCAAAGTAACTATGCAACCAGGTTGGATAGTTATACATATATATATATATATAAACATATGACCTCTTCATCATTCTTTTACTGATACGTAGATATTTAAAGTTTGGATGCTCAGTTTATCATAAACGATTACATGCTGCATAGCAATTCTTTCCTCCACTTCTTTTTGGAAAAAAATGGAAAACAAGTGGTTTTGTGGATGACTCAAAGACAAGACAGAAATTATTTTAGGCGCCTGTGTGCAGATCAATGAATAAGCAGACCTGATCTTCAAAATGTACAAGATGCTTTCCTGACTCAGTCAGCTAGTTTATATCATTTCCACCTCCATCCACTGTTGATTCTGCTCCACTGCACGACTGTCTGTGTGCTCTGCATTCTATTCCCTCAGGACAGCATTACATACAGTAGTTCCACTGGTCATGGCCTATGCCTTCTATTCCCTCAGGTTAGCATTTCAAACAATAGTTCCTCTGGTCAAACCTGGCATAGTTACGCTTTCCTCTGAATTTGGACACTATACCAATTAAAATCGACACTAAATATGCTGTAATCGAGAGAGCAAATGCAAACTCACAAATTGTATTCCTTTTGACTCATCACATTCCAAAATGTCTCACAACAATAAAGCGACTTCAATATTGTCGGTGTTGGGTACATTAGATGAATTCAAAAAAATATGGAATAATTGCTTTCCAAGTTGCCTAGTTACCAAAATACAAACACATTTCTAATTTTATTTTAAGACGCGACAAAAAGCACACAGAAACATGCTCATCAATAGTTCAGTGGGTAAACGCATTACATTGTTGGTACTGGGTCACATGGACCAAGATGGTCTTAGATTCAGTCAATGGTCTGTGTTGGGTCAACTGATCTCAGAGAGGATAGGGTTCAATTTATTTTAGTGTCCCTAAATTGGGAAAAGGAAAAATTGCCACAATTTCTGGTTCTGATTATTATCCAGCAACATCCTATTCAAAAACAATGGGGTTGTAAGGTATACTATGGCCTGCGAATGAAGTGGGGGTAAATTCAGAATAAATCTGCGGAAACAATACTTCAGTGAGAAAGTAGTAAAACTTATGGAACAGACTCCCAAGCGAGACAGTGGTAGCAGAAAATGTTGTTTGTTTTAAGAACAAATTAGATAGATTTCTGATAGAAAATAATATGTCGGGATACAGTATACAATTGGGACACGATACGTTACGCCAGGATGGTGGGAGGTGAACGAGATGGACCTTGGACATTGGGCGATAGGATTAGATTAGACTCAACTACAGGATCCCACCAATATCCAGGCACTGCATGCTTCACACAGAGTATAATAGGTAGGAGTCCTGTAGCTCAGTGGTTAGAGGACTCGCCTCGCAAGCGAAAGACCTAGGTTTGATTCCCAGCAGGGCGAAACCTTGAGCAAGTCTCCTTACTCCACATGCCTGATAATAATCCCTCAAGAAAGAAAACAATAATAAATTTGGTCACTTCAATCTACGACTGTTTGTGGACACTGCTGTGCGCAATTGACTGCTGCGTTTCTCCCGCAAATATACAGTCAATTCACTTTACAGTATATTCGGTGAAGCGCTTTGAGACATCTAGAAGACAAGAAAAGCGCTAAATCAAATGCAAGGATTATTATTATTATTAATAGGTAGAAATTACACTGAGGTTCAGCACACTTTTTGGGGAAGGACTGACTATGCAATCATAAAAACTAAACTTTTATCTTTCTGGCATGTTGATGGATATTAACTGATTTAGTGACAAAAGGATTTCATAAAATTATGTTTTTTAAAATAGTCGATTGTTAAGGGGATGACTTTGCTCAAACTCGAGTAGCATGGACTCATGTTAATGTCACTTTCAGTTTTCCAGTCCAAAGAGTGGCAATAAGTGTGAAGAGACAATAACAGGTTTTTGTGCCAATAGGATGTAGTTTTCAGACAAGCAGTCAAGAGGAACCGTTCTGTAATACGTCAGTCACCACCTGCAGTCTCCCCAGCTGGAGTTGTGGAAAAATTCTGATACTGAAGATGCTACATTCAAATAGTTTACAAAAAAATGTTTTCACAACAAAAAAGTACATATATACCTGTTATTTATTTTCTTGACTTAAAAATGTGAACGAGAGCCAACTGACGTGAATTCAACCTTAACTAAGAAGCAGCAGTAAACCAGGTGACAGTAAGAGGAAGCAGTATGTTGTACCACTATTAACCTTTTAGTGCTACAAGCCCAAATGCTGCTATCAAATGCTCTTACCTTGTGACGTGTTTGCAGATGACTGAATATTATGATATTTTTTAGTAGTCAATGAACTGCGGAAAAGATGTTCGTAGATCTTTTATTGCGTTTGGACTGTACATGCAATTTGTAGGAATCCAAAGTATTTTGTAAAGGTTCAAACATTCTCTATAATTTTCTTTAAATATGACTTACCCTATGTATAATTTGATCGACTCTCTTAAAAGCTTTGTTTGTTGTTCTTTAATTTCACTTGATTTTCCCCTCTTGTCATTTTCTTTGGTTTCCCTTTTTCCGTGCATTGTTTTTCGTCTTCTTACAGTCTCTGTCACCTCTCAGCTGGACTATTCAAAAGCCCTCCTCGCCGGTCTCCCCTCCACTACCATTCACAAAATCCAGGTCATCCAAAACTCTGCTGCCCGCATTCTTACCCACACCAAACTCCGCTCCCCGATAACCGCAGTCCTTGCCAGACTGCACTGGCTGCCTGTCCCAGAGAGGATCGATTTCAAGATCCTCACCCTTGTCTTCAAATTCCTCCACTCCTCTGCATCCCCTACCTCTCTGATCTCTCTCCTCACAACAGTGCCCGTTGCCTTCGCTCCACCGGGTCTGGCCTCCTCCTTGTCCCCCGAATCCTCTGCTCCACCATCAGTGGCCGTGCCTTCAGCCACTGTGCCCTGAGGCTCTGGAATTCACTTCCTCATTCCCTTCACCTCGCTCCCTCTCTTCCTATTTTCAGGTCTCGGCTGAAGACCTTTCTTTTCGACCGCGCCTTTGGTCACCTTCATCCCCCTCCCCATGGTTCGGCCCCGGGATCCATTACTGTATAGCACTCTGAGATGCCGTCCAGCGTGGAGGGCGCTATATAAATCCAAGTTGTTGTTGTTGTTGCACATTTAACAGTAAAGAGGGGCGTGAGCATGTGTCAAACAGTCCTCTGAATTCCTTTGGGATAACCAAATAAAATCTACCCAGTAGATACTATCTGAGATCTGGAACTCACACAGAACCATGGTAGTGATATCCCACACCTTTCCAATCTATGGGCGCATTCAAAGTCTATAGTTGATAAATAAGCATCCAAAAGTGGAAGAAAGGTTCATATTTCTGACAAAAACTGAACCCTGAGTTCAGAACACCAACCTATCTTTCTCTTTCAGATATTGACTGACCCACTTTGGTTTTAGAAACTTTGATTTTTATTTCTGTCATCCTACAATATAGTATTTAAATGGGACAACATGCATTTATATCACTCTGATTAGGTTTGGTTCCCCACTATCCATCTTGTGACAGAAAGATATATCTGTATTTAGAATAAACCCATAACCTGGACAGGACTTATTACAGCCCAGGCAATGCAGATCAGTTCCATCAAAAAATGTCACAATAATCTAAAATGTCCTTAATACTCACTTCCATGCTTTTCACAGGTACTTGCCTCTGGTAATCAACATAAACTGACTGGCAATTTCCACACAAGAAAAAAGTCAGTTACGTATAAAGAGCGTGCAGGGTACTGCTGGAGAACATCAGAAGTCCTTTGTAGGGTACAGAGGCTTTCAGAGGTAGGAATATGCAGACACCAAACAATCTTGGGGAAGATTCACTTTTTCTGCTCAATTACATCTCTCATTTTGTTCATAGAAACAAATACACAAAAGTTTTTAGAAATGTCCNTTTTTTTCTTAATGTATACATCTTTCACTTTTGCTTGGCATTCCTGGCATTTTCAATGTACAAAAGCATGAATACATTGCACTTCAGATAATAACATCTAGAAAAGGTAAAAGTTCACGCTTAATATTTCAATTTGTTTTTCACGCAATATATATTTCCTTTCCCTACCTGCAGAGCTAAGCAGCACATTGAAATCAGCACCTCGCACAGACTCTTCCACTTCTTCTTTCTCTTTTGTCTTGTATTTGTCCCAATTTGAAACTATTTTTCTTCTAGAAAATTTGTTTGGCTCATTTTCTTCCTCTTTAGTGTCCACGTCATCTTCATCCTTTCACATTAAAAAAAAATCACATATATTAAAACAGGTTTACTTTATTTGCACATATTTGCACATAAAGAGAGCATTTGGTATTTTGTTGAGATTAATTACCAAAGAATAATCTACATTTGCATGTATAATGAATAGTCCATATAATGTAACAGAATTAAAAATGGAAAGCAAGCTTTAAAATGTCAAAAGTGTATAGAGAAGGCATTAGATTCCACTAAATGCTTCACTGTGGCTTCCATATTGATAAGACAAACACAAAGTGAAAATAAAAAAACCCTGTTCAACTTCACCCTCCACATTAATACAATTTTCATTTTCCACTTATATACCATATATACCAATACTTTTTCTGAAAAATATCAGACAGGTCTGAAGTATGATAGTGTTGGTTTTACATCTAGCAAGAACCGAAGTATTTTGTTGATGATGAACAAGAACAGCTTTTTTATTTATGGGAATGAGGTTACATTAAATCATAGTCATGCGTCAACACAAGATGAATGACCAAAACTAGTGGCACAGGTCACCCAATTTACCACAATCATCTGCTTCAAAACATCCATTTCAGTTTGTGATGCACATCTAAGACAAGTTATATAAGTAGACCAGTGATTAACAGTAAATGCTTTCTTTTGGGACCAATAAGATTGATATTTACACTATTCACAAATAACAACAGGGCTCATGATATGACAGAAATTTATTTCTTAAGTGTTCACCATAGAAATATTTTATTTCAAACAACATCTGCAAAAATACTTCCTTCTTCCATCCATCCTTCGTCTGTTTTTGCAGTGCCTCCACCTCACTTCCACATTTGTTTGTTTTCATTCATGCACGTTCCCTGTACACATTAGCAGCCAAGCTGTTCTCCATCCCTTTTCAGAAATGCATCAATCATCAGGCCCAAGAGATGTGTTCTTCCAATCTGCTAATGTATTTTGTTCAAAGTTGAAAGGACTCCAATTTGCAAGGTTCAAAGATTTCCCTAATTCGTCCAGAGTGCTGATGTTGCTCGAGTCCAAATCCCCTATATTTCTTTCTTAATAATACAAGGTCTAAATATCTCATTTTTAGGTTATACTTTTCTTTAAAGAATTTGTACGAGTAAATGTTTTTTAAAAAAAGTCAGCGTTTAAAATATAAATAGCTAATCTTCTAATGCCAAAGAGGAGATTCCATACAAAAGTGGTCCAGAGACTGCCTGTAGGTGGACCAACGAACACAATACAAAATACCTCCTGCCTTGTGCATCCATTCATTCCTGAATTGAACGTGCACATATGCCAAGACACAACATCATCAAATTTTTGGCTTAACATATGCAATATTGAGAGCATAACAGCAACACAGCAGAACTAACAAGCATAATCCACCTAGGAAATACACAGTCACTACACTTTACAGCAAATCCCTTGAAGTGCTTTGAGGCAAACTCTAACGTGAAAGGCATGCTATCAAATGCAAGGATTATTATTATATAATAAATAATCAAGCATGGTAGTTTAAAGGGAAACAATGAGAAAGATACCTAGAAACATCAGGAGAAGGAATTGCAACATTGTACTGGGTTTATTTTATACTCCTAACATGTTTTCAAAACATTTCAAAATTGTTTATTTTTAAAACTGTTATAAGAACATAAGAATTAGGAGCAGGAGTAGGCCATTCGGCCCCTCGAGCCTGCCCCGCCATTCGATAAGATCATGGCTGATCTTCTGACCTAACTCTAATTACCTGCCCTATCCCCATATCCCCTAATCCCTCTATTTTTTAAAATAGAAAATAAATAAATTTTATTGACAAGGCCAATTAAGTATTGGTGAATTTCAAGGACATATGATTGTAAGTCAGAACAAAGTTTTAAAACTTTCAAACTTACTGGTAAAGCCACAATCAAACAACCCTTTAGTCACTCTTGGAGATTAAGATGCATTCCCGAAGAAAGCACAGAACAATGATTCCTCGCTGGTCCCAAAACACCATAAATGAGAGTTGCTAAAGGATAGATCTAACTATTGTGCTTCCTATATCATACATAACTTAGCGACGTGGCAGCTGCAATGAGATTTGGAGATGTGTTAAAATTCCTCATTGCAGATACAATAATAGTAAGGATTTATTCTACTAACGCTAGCCGGAGTACTTCTAACAGAAAGCACTCAAAGGCAGAGTATTTTCTCTTTTCCTTTAGCTTGAACACCACTAGAGAATACAAATATAAAATTAGAAAGATTTTCACCACCCACAAAGCGTCGTGCTTATGTGAAACAGAAAGCCCTTAAAAAAATAAGTTGCTTTGAACACTCAGCTGGTCAGGCAGCATCTATGGAGAAAGGAGAGTTAACATTTCAGGTCGATGACCTTTTGTCAGAACATTTTATTTCAGATTCCCAGCGTCTGCAGTATTTTGCCTTTAGCCCTTAAAGAAAGTTAGTTCTGTAACAATTAACCACTAAAAGGGCAAAATAAATATCTGATTAACAATGGATGAAGGTTAGTGGAAATGATTCTGGAGTTTCATACAATTCCCTTGGAGTAAGACAGAAATTTCATAATTATGCATGTTTGGAAGGTTTACCTTTCCGATCAACTTTTTAGAAGATCAAATTTATAAATAGCAGGAAATATTATGTATGATTTACAGAAGGTAAAGGCATGATGGCCCAAATGGCCAATCCTTGCTATTTTTATATTTACTCAAAGTCAGTCCCACAGTTTAGCACACCCTGTATTATGATGTATGATTATAAGGTATGCACTCCTTACTGGAAATATCAGTGCACACAATTGACATACTATACATGGTTTTCTTTAAGTAGCTAAATGAAAGATTCTGATTGATCGATCGATCGATTGATTGATTGAAGGCAGATGTGTAACTATGAGTAGGAACACACCCCAGAGATGAATGGGCTTGGATGTGTACAAACTACATGAAAGCAGAATATTCAATCCACACAAAAATCATCGCCATCCCACTATTAAAAGAGTAATAGTATAGAGGTCAGGTGAAGTCGCTGAACTGTCACTTTGTCATTATTCCCCAACCCTATTCACTTACAGTAATTTATGAATATCTATTAAGTAGAGTCCCAAGTTCATACTCATCTGGTCATGTGATTACATAAAGTGTGTTATGAACCGAGGCACTCAAAATCCTGCATCAGAGAATCTGCCAGAGCAATTGGCGTACACAATGTTCCATTTAAATGTTATTCAACTGTTTTATGTGTGGGTTCATTTGCAGTACACGTGCTTTAAATTGGGGAAACTGAACATTTGTTTTGCATTATTTTGTGAGACAGTCCACTACAACCAAAGTTAAAATTGGACTTGTCTGAAATCCAGGACAGTGGATATTTGGGGTCAGCTGCAAATAAATAACAACAGTAATTGCTCGGAGTCCCTCAATCCAAGGCTCCAGATGCACATTTCAACACACAATTATTAACTTCATCACTTGATGTCAACAAGTTTGAACCTTGGCACAACATAATCATAAATGACAGTCAGGGGTAACAATGAGGAATCCTGAATGTTTTGAACCAACAGTTCAGAGTCTGTATCTGTCCAGTGTGTGTTTCGGTGCCCAGCTTGTGTTTTGGTATGCAGTGTGTGTTTTGACAGTGTGTTCTTCAGTGTACTGTGTGGTGTGTTTCAGTGTACAATGTTATGTGTTACAGGTTACAGCATACAGTGTAATGTGATAGTGTAATGTCTTACACCGTAATATGTTACAGTGTAACAGTGTACAGGGTAGTGTGATACAGTGTACTGTAATGTGTTACACTGTAATGTCAGTGTAAACAGTGTACAGTCTAGTGTGATACAGTGTACAGTGTAGTGTTACACTGTAATATGTAGTGTAACAGTGTACAGTGTGGTGTGATACAGTGTAGTGTAATCTGTTACAGACTGCAGTGTTACAAAGCAAGTCAGGAACCTAGGTGTCTTGTTCGACCCTCAACTGTCTTTTCTTTCCGACATGCAAGCCATGTGGGAAAGAAAGCCAAGCCAAGCCGCTCTGCTTTCCCTCACCTCCATAACATCGCCCAACTCTGCCACTACCTCACCCAACAGGCCGCTGAAACTCTTGTTCATGCCTCCATCACCTCCAGGCTTGACTACGCAAACGCCCTGCTTGTCGGCCTTCCCAACTCCTCCCTCCACAGGCTGCAGATAATCCAGAATTCTGCAGCCCGTGTCCTCTTCCACACCAAACTCTGTGACCCCATCTCCCCCACTCTCGCCCGACTCCACTGGCTCCCTATCCTTCAGAGGATCTAGTTCAAGATCCTGGTCCTCACCTACAAAGCCCTCCATGGCCTCGCAACCAATGCAGCAAGACATAGATATGTTAGGTGATTGGGCAGGTAGGTGGCAGATGAAGTATAATGTAGGGAAGTGGAAAGTCATCCACATAGGTAGCAAAAACAGTAGAGCGGGTTATTTTTTAGAAGGGGAGACATTGGAATGTGTTAGCGTCCAGAGGGACTTGGGTGTCCTTGTATACCAATCACAGAAAGTTAGTCTGCAGGTGCAGCAGCAATTAGGAAGGCGAACGGTATGTTAGCATTCATTATGAAAGGATTAGAGTATAAGAGTAGGGAAGTCTTGCTGCAACTGTATAGGGCCCTGATGAGACCACACCTGGAATACCGTGTCCAGTTTTGGTCTCCTCATTTAAGGAAGGATGTACTTGCCTTGGAGGGGGTGCAGCATAGGTTAGCTGGGTTAGTAGGTTAGGACCAGGGATGAAGGGGATGAGTTACGAGGATAGGCTGACTAATTTGGGCCTATATTCTCTAGAATATAGAAGAATTAGAGGGGATCTTATAGAAACCTATAAGATCATCAAAGGGCATGATAGAGTAGATAGTGGGAGATTGTTTCCCCTGGTTGGAGAAACTAAAACCAGGGGTCACAACCTTAAAATCAGAGGCCAGCCCTTTCGCACTGAGTTGAGGAAGAACTTCTTCACTCAAAGGGTGGTGAATGTATGGAACTCACTACCCCAAAGGGCTGTTGACGCTCAGTCCTTGAACACATTCAAGACTGAGATAGATAGATTTCTTATTGCAAAAGCGATTAAGGGATATGGGGATAAGGCAGGGTCAGGTTATTAGCTGGAGGTAGACTAGAAGATCAGCCATGATTGAATGGCGGGGTAGGCTCGAAGGGCTGAATGGCCTACTCCTGTTCCTACATGTTATGTTACAGAGTGCAGTGTGTAGTGTTACAGTGTGCAGTGTGACGTGTTACAATGTGTAGTGTGTAGTGTGACGTGTTACAGTGTGCACAGTGTGTAGTGTGAAGTGTTAAAGTGTGACGTGTTACAGTGTGCAGTGTGACATGTTACAGTGTGCAGTGTGACGTGTTACAGTGTGCAGTGCGGTGTTACAGTGTGACATGTTACAGTGTGCAGTGCGGTGTTACAGTGTGACGTGTTACAGTGTGACATGTTACAATGTGCAGTGCAGTGTTACAGTGTGACATGTTACAGTGTGCAGTGCAGTGTTACAGTGTGACATGTTACAGTGTGCAGTGCGGTGTTACAGTGTGCAGTGCGGTGTTACAGTGTGACATGTTACAGTGTGCAGTGCGGTGTTACAGTGTGACATGTTACAGTGTGCAGTGCGGTGTTACAGTGTGACATGTTACAGTGTGCAGTGCGGTGTGACAGTGTGACATGTTACAGTGTGCAGTGCGGTGTGACAGTGTGACATGTTACAGTGTGCAGTGCGGTGTGACAGTGTGACATGTTACAGTGTGCAGTGCGGTGTGACAGTGTGACATGTTACAGTGTGCAGTGCGGTGTTACAGTGTGACATGTCACAGTGTGCAGTGCGGTGTGACAGTGTGACATGTTACAGTGTGCAGTGCGGTGTGACAGTGTGACATGTTACAGTGTGCAGTGCGGTGTGACAGTGTGACATGTCACAGTGTGCAGTGCGGTGTGACAGTGTGACATGTCACAGTGTGCAGTGCGGTGTGACAGTGCGCAGTGTACAGTGTAATGCGCTGCATTAATTACAGATTCCGGGATAGTCTCCCCCACTCAGACCCGCTGCCGCCGGTCGCTCTCACCTCCTTCTGCTGCTGTTGCTGCTGCAGCAGTTGTTGGGCCTGATAACGGCCCCGGGGCTGCCGTTTGCCCCGAGACCCGCTGCGGCCTGCAGTGCCCCTCCAGCCTCGGTCAGCCTCTACGGGCCGCCGGTGCTGCTGCTGCTGGTGGTGGTGGTGCTGCCTGTCACCGTGACTGTCCCGGGGCTCCTGGCCCCGGCCTCGACCCTGGCCCCAGCCTCGACCGGCGGCTCCTCCTCCCCCTCCTCCTTTGCGGCCGCGGCTCCGCTCGGGCTCCATCCCACCGCCGCCGCTCAACTGTCAACCGTCACTTGCCGCGTGAGAGCGCCCGCGTGGCCGGGCGTTCGAATACCGTTTGTAGCCCAAAGTCAACCCCAAAGTAGCCCAAATGATAGCCCGTTGCCTCCGAATTGGGGAGCAGAGTGTGTGGGGCCAGTTTTTAGTGCATTTGAAACTGTGTAAACCTCCCCCCCCCCAAAAAAAAAAGGACATGAGTGTATGTGTGGGGTGGGAGGGGGGGGGGGGGGGGGGGACACGTTTTGCAGGTTTAAATATATTTTAAAAAGTGCAGTTAATGAACCACAACAAAAACCGCCCAATTGGTGCGTGAACCCGCCCAACCTGCCTACACTGGTGAGGAGCCGCCTTGACTGCACTGCACTGCACAGTCAGACTCAGGTCACACACATCTATGACACCCCTCCCTCTATCTCCACCCCCCCACCCCCCCCCCCCCCCCCCCCCACCAACCCCCACCACCACGAGAACACAGTTAATTGTAAATAATAATAAAATAATCCTTGCATTTTTTTTCACAATTCAGACCGTTGTCATTTTTTTTTTACAATCACCCGTTGAGGCTTCTGGAAGCTATTCGCAACATTTTTTAACTGTGACGTGTAGCGACTGTATTTTGTGGGGGTGCCCGGCACTGTTGTCCCCGCAAAAACAAACGTGAAGTGAATGACCGACATGATGGGGTGGTGGGGTGGAGGAGAGGGGAATTGTTGGCCCGGACCCCAGAGAAACTCCCTTCTGCAAGATTGCCTTCCCCTGAGAACCTTAAATGCAGGAGACGTTCCTGTTGCTTTTCTTTTCCGGGAATCAGCCTGGCTCAGCGGATAGCGTCAGTAACTTGAGTCAGTAGGTTGGGGCTTTGAATCCACAGTTTATTATTCAATCTCTTTATCACCATCTAGAAACACTTGTGTAACCTTTCTCGGACGCTTGGACGAGGCATTATGAGAAGGTGATCACCTGATTCGCCACTTAAATTTGAAGAATCCAGTCCATTATGAACAAATAATAATGAGCATTATTGTAAATAAAAAGAATGAAACTGTAAATTAGGGTCTTGTGAACCCAAAAGGGAGGTTCTCTGCTGCCAACACAAATAATAATAGGTATTATTATTAAATAGTTGAAAGATGTAGAACTAAAGCATATTAGAACGAACCAGACGCAAACAGCATTGCCAGACAAGTTATTAAAGCAGACAAGTATACTCATCATAATTCTTTTCTTTTGCAGAGGAAAGCAAGGAAGCAAAAAAAACCTGCAAATGCAATTATTGCCCTCAGCATCGCAGGCTCACGACACTCATGTTGAATTTCTTAGTTGCCTTTAAAAGCAAAACATTCATTCATTGCTGTCTACTCAAGTTGCTGCTCCAGGTCCAATAATCATGGGATCAGATCTATTTAGGAACACAACTCTTATTACTGGTAATTTATCCAGTCAACAGGAGGGGCCCAGCCTTTTGAAAGTCATATTGATTGCTACCATCACTGCAATAGTTAGCCTTGTAACAATAATAGGCAACATATTAGTCATTGTGTCATTCAAAGTGAACAGTCAGCTTAAAACTGTGAACAATTATTATTTGTTAAGCCTGGCGTGTGCAGATCTCATCATTGGTGTCTTTTCAATGAACCTCTACACTTCTTATATACTAGTAGGTCATTGGTCCTTAGGTACTCTGGCTTGTGATCTGTGGCTGGCGTTGGACTATGTAGCAAGTAATGCTTCTGTTATGAACTTGCTAGCCATAAGCTTTGACCGATATTTCTCTATCACCCGACCTTTGACCTACAGGGCTAAACGCACACCCAAAAGGGCAGCTATCATGATCGGACTTGCCTGGATGATATCGTTCATACTATGGGCTCCTGCAATTTTATGCTGGCAGTACTTGGTTGGAGAAAGGACAGTTCCTTCTAGTGATTGTCAGATCCAATTTTTGTCTGAGCCAATTATTACATTTGGGACCGCAATAGCTGCTTTCTATATACCAGTGTCGGTGATGACGATATTATACTGTCGTATCTATAAAGAAACTGAAAGACGCACAAAGGATCTGGCAGAACTTCAAGGATCAAATTTAGGTTCCGAAAATGAAATTGCTTCAGCTTCCAAGAAGACTCTTTTCAGGTCCTGTTTTGGTTGTGAAGGGCACAAGAGGTCTAACAGGGAAAGGTGCCAAGTCTCATGGTCTTCTTCCAGCAGAAGCACCACAGTGACTCTAAGAACCACACATGCACAAAGTGTTGTAGACGAATGGTCAAAAAGTGACAAAGCAGGCTCGTTTGCTAGTTACCCATCATCAGATGATGAAGAGAAACCAACTACAAAGTCAGTCTTCTCTGTGTCGTTTAAGACCCAGGCAAATAATCAGAAAGAGGAGTTCAATAGTGAAGAAGATAAAAAGATTTCCCTGGAAGACCATCCCATGATAAACGATTACGAAAACTCAAACTGTTTGGTTTCCCCCGCAAAATGCCAAAAACAGAAAGATAAAAAATGCGTTTCTTACAAATTTAACAAATTGACCATTACAAATAGCAGTTTTCAACCAACTCCAGATTCAAGTAATGGTTGCACACAAATCAAAATAACACCGTGCTCCTCTACTGACTCTGAGGCTCCATTCATTAAAAATCTTGATCAAAATCTTAAAAATCAAATCACCAAAAGAAAACGGATGGTTTTAGTCAAAGAAAGAAAGGCAGCACAAACCCTCAGTGCAATCCTTCTGGCTTTCATCATCACGTGGACACCTTACAACATCATGGTCCTCGTCTCAACCTTCTGTTCAAACTGCATACCAGTTTCATTATGGCACCTTGGCTATTGGTTGTGCTATGTCAACAGCACAGTCAATCCGATGTGCTATGCTCTTTGCAACAAAACGTTTCGTAAGACTTTCAAAACGTTGCTTTTATGTCAGTGGAAAAATAAAAGAAATGAAGAAAAGCTGAACTGGTACAGTCAGCACCCAGCCACCAACAAGTAACTCACACCATGTCCATCCAGCTAAAAAGTGTAATTAGCTTATTTGTGGAGTTCTTTTTATATAAATTGTACGATAAACGTTCCCCTTCAACAGCCATGCGATACACAATTTATTCCCTGAAATAAAATAATAGCCTTGCATGGATCATCAGTTGGCATTGATGGTGCCCAATGAAAAACTGATCTGTAAGACTGACACAGGTCTCAGGCTCGATTCCAAACTGTGCTGAGTTAGCTGGTCTCAGTTGGAGTGGTGTTGGAAGCAATCCAATTGGTCCATGCAAAGGAAATATCAGTTATGGTTCATTCTCCTAAGTGCTATTCAGTGACCCCCCTGGTTGAAATTGCATATGTTTGAATGACGCCAAGTGGAGGCAGGGTTAGGCTCAGTTGCCTCCCCCACAATCAAACAGCCTGTCATCCATGGTCTCGTCTCACACATGAAGAATGATCTCTTCAGCAAGGGACTGGAAGGCAGCTGGCACTTGTGGAACTATACCCAGAATAAGTCAGCGACCATAGACGTAAGGAGAAAAAATTTCCGAGTTTTTTTTTGTTAAAAAATCAAACTGCTCAATAGAACAAGCCACAACAGTATTCATAGTGATGGGTGTCTAATGACCAGTGATGAGCTTTCTGTGTATATTATAAACAAAGCATATTCGTACTATATGCTGATATTGTGTAAAAGTAGAGCAAACTCTGATACTGGTTCTCGCCCTCTTGCAAGTGTCCTGACACTACAGAAACCAAGCGATTCTATTACACTCAGAATAAAACAAAGAGCACACCCCTACTAGAAAACCAGAAGCTTATTTTAATTTTTAACAAATAACATGAAAAGTATTGTTATTAGAGGACTGCAAAGAGAATTGTTGAGACTGATGTTTATTTCACTCATGTTGTAACACCAAATAATTTGTGAACAATATTCACCTCTATATTCTATGTAATTTCATTGTTAGCAGGCATGCATCAGCAATTGAAATTGCACTGAAACTAATCTACTGGAAAAAATGTCTTTACTAATCACTGTATAAGACTGCTTTTGTCAAAAATGTTAATCTTGCTTATTCCAGTCTCCTCCATGTGTATCTGTAAGCTTTATGAAATAAAAGGAGAGGCTACTTTAGACCCAAAGAAACACTTAAGTCTCCCTCACTGTGGCTGAACAAAGAAAGGGAAATTAACCCATAAACAGTGGGGTAATAGTGATAATTTTACAAGGATTAAAAGCAGTACCTCTTTCTGGACTCAACTTCTCTTGAACATAAAAATGTTTAATTGTGGCGGTTGAACGGTGCATGTGGTAGGGTGCCATCATTTTACCTCCAAGTCTGTGGTTCAAATCAAAAGAAAAATTCTTGTATTTTCAGAAAAGAGAATTGCTAGGGAACATTGATGAAGAGTATTCTTTTTTGAAGTTTTCAAAATATGACATACAGTATATGAAAAGTATTCAGTTAATTAACTTTTTAATTAACTTAGTAACTTAGTAAACTCATACTTTGCCTATTTTGAGGTGCTAAACCAACAGCACATTAAATGTATAGTCAGAAACACAAAATTACAAAATTTAACACTTAAAACCTGTCTAAGAAGGTAATCATGTTGACCATGTTTGCTGCGGACTAAAACATAAAATGAGTAATTTCGGCTATGTGGTTGTTTCATTTTACATGCTGTTTTAAAATACCTAATACGTGGGTTGAGTTTCAAATCAGATGGAAAATGATGGGCAGAAGATCAGAGGGGTGGCTTATTTTAATTGGCTTTAACATCCTGGACATGTTGCGTGAGAAACAGAATTGAGGTTCGCTTTCATAAAGGAGTGTGGAAAAATTCACTGTCACGACTCATACATAAAGAGTGGCCACTGAGGCGAAGTTCCAGATGACACTTATGGAACTGTGCTGCACTAGGTGAAGAACTTTTAGCCACTTTGCTCCTAACCTTTAGAACTCTCTCTCTCCTTCCCAAATCCCATCTAAATTTCTACCTCTTTGCCCGTGCCCATGGTCACCTCTGCCTTCCGTTCTTCGCTTCTCTCTTGCTCGGTGTCTGACACCCTCATTGTGAAGCATTTCAAGATGCTGTCCTATTTGAAGGGCACTATATAAATGCAGGCTGTCCTTGCTTCATGACTGTTTTTTCAAGAGAGGGAAGAAAATTGGAAAGAAAAAAGACCAAAAGAAAATTAAGACAGCAACGTTTTCCCAGCATGTTCTAATTTCAAACGTTTATTCAAACAAAAGCATATTTAACCATCAAGGCTTTTTGTTGCTATACAAACAAATCCCCGAAAAAACAACTTAGAATTTCCATTATATCAATAACCATCCTGAAAACAAATTTAATTGCTTTTTACTTTAAAGGTTCATTCTTCAGCTGGGTGAGGTGCAGCCTATGAATTTCTCCCAGACTTTCAAAATCAAAGCTTTTCACTTGAGGGGGTTCCTAAAATCAGGGCGGTTCTATCAAAGCTATTATACAAAACAAGTCTCTGTCTCTCATACATTTTCTGTGAAAGTATTTTTTTAAATTGCGGTGCAATTTAGTGTTAGCTGCAAGAATACAATAATTTCCCTTCATTTGAATGTAAAGAAATGACAATTCTGTTGAACAGTATTCATATAAGGTGTAAATTAAAATGGTAATGGTGAGCAAAAGAAGTAGGTGTGTGCATAATTATGAAAAGAAGCAGGATCTGGATTCTTCTGTCTCGTTTATATAACAGAAATACTGATTGTGATAAAAGTTTGTACACTCCTTCAAATTCCTAGTTCTTAATTCTGTGTTTGTTTTAAGGCTCTGTGACTAAGTATGTTGAAAGTGGTCTGCTTACATATTAACTCTGTTGTATGGTTGTGTAGGTATTCTTCTGAATTTGTTTTTTGACTCCCTGAATACTTTGATCTATGATTTTAGGCTATTTATCTTTAAATATTTTGACATATTGAATGACATTTTTTTTCGCGAGTTAAATATTGGTATTACAGGTGTTTGGCAAGTTTGTAATTGTTTATTACAACTATTGTAATGACTGAATTTATTATTTTATCAGATATGTTTCACATTTCTTGCGAATAAAGCTGTATTGAACAACCTCCTGGTACACTGACCTTATGTAAAATCTAATACTGTTAATCCATTACTCTGTATATTTAATCATTCAGACCTGAAAACTTTATAGAGCTATTTTCTGGCTTTAGCAATTCTCCCCTGAAGGTGGCAGTTCATACTGGGGTATAGTTCCTTAAATATAGGAAGCCCTCATTGTTTCACAGTTCCTGACATCAAAAGATTCAGAAACGTGTTCTATGATCATAGATGTTTGTTGGAGAAAGAGAAGGAAGCCATGCAGAACTGTTCCTCATGTGGTGGGTTGGCTAATTTAATGGCCTGTGAATGGAGAGGGCTTAATGGGACAAATGGCCTATTTTCTGTTCTCTTTTCTTATGTACTCATACACTTTCTACTCATGGGGGAAGAAAGGGAGGTCACATAAGGCTTTGAACATGCAATGGTTCTCTGCTGCATTGCGCAATGTTTCACCAATCACAGAGATTAGAGCCATACATGCTTCATTCCAAAAAAGTCGATCCCTGAAATATCAGCCTTAAAAGTTGTATTTATTTCCTCGAATTCTGTTCCATCTTGGTGCCACTCATCTTGGACCAGATAGGAAAGGGCGACTGTCTGGCTCATGGATTTCTGCAGGACTATTTGTCAATGCCAATGCCTGACTGACCAGAAGAATATCCATTTCAAGCAGAATTATCTGGTCAACATTGCTTTTTTCATCCCTGAATATATACACCACATGACTGTTTCAAAATATCTGGCTGAAAGTTAATCAACACGTCCCCCTGGAAAAAAAAAGGCCTTGCATTTTTGTAGCACCTTATCATGTTGAGCACGTCACAGGTAATTATTGTCAAGTGTAACAACTGTTTTCACAGGCAAATGGTCTTCCATTTGCACTAGCAAAGTCCCACACGAAGCTATGAGGTGAGAAGCCAATTAATCAAGAGGAAAGAAAGACTAAAGGTGGATTGCAACTTTCAGATGATGGCTCAAACATTCTTACATGTTAAGTATCACTTTGGCTCAATTGGTAGCACTCTAAAATCCAAGCTGACATTCTTGTGCAGTGCTAGTGGAATGCTGCATTCTTGGGATTTCAATAAATTAAAACTCCTTATGGAGATTAATAATGGCATTATCAGCCTACAGCAGGAAACTGACCATATAAAGTCATTTTTTTTAACAGCAAAAGCAGGCGGTGGAGGAAATCAGAAGCTAGGAGCAGTGCACTGCGTGGGAATATATCTTTAATTAGCAAGGGTGATTGAGCGACTATGAAAAAATTAGTCAGGATGTATCATGACAAGTACTGCAAATCTTTGATAGCCAATCTTACTCCGACAAAAGATCTTAATATTTGTATTCAAAAAATACCTAGATCAGCAAAAGCTTTTCAGTGGGTGCATAATTGTGTTTCATGGATAACTACAGGAAGTTAAATGTTTAAATGCTCATATAAGGCAGAAGGATTCTGATGTCCGACAGACTGCTGAGGAAGGGGTGAAGAAGTAGGGAGTAAAAGGCAGAGATACTTGACCTCAAAGAAGGGGAATTGGAGAATAATTAAGAAATAGTATTGGTAGCGACCTGAGAAATGATCATTTGCCTACATTCTAAATTGGAAACAGTTCAGAAGAGGAGTAGGATAGATGACAGATGGGTGGATGGGGGTGGGGGTGGGGTGCGGGGGACACCCTAAAGAGAACATTAATCAAAATAGAAGATTCAGATTTTTAAAAAATCATGGAAATGACTAATGCGTACAGTTAAAGTGCTGGAAATAACACTTCAGGCAGCTGGGACCATACGCTGACAAATTTTAATGTTCTAAGCTGGTTGAGTGCACACAAGTACACAGTTTGTTCATTCAATGCATTAATACTTCAGTTGCTGAACTCACACAATCTATTATAGTAACAGTACTAACAGACCCTTTAGGATGTGCTGCTCCAATGAACCAGAACTAAAGTTCCCACATGTAAAACAGGCGACATGCAAGAACAGCATTTCAGGCATTTGCTGCTGCTCATTTGGGCCTTTTCATTAGCAGGTCAGCAAGACATTCACTGCACAAATGAAACACAAAGTTTGGTCAGATATTCCACGTGTGTCTAGACTTACGCTTCAAACTTAGAGAATCATCAGAGCATTTAGAATTTCATAAATTGTTGAATTCCATCTTAACTTTGAATTTTTTTTCATAAAACTTACAGGAAAAAGCTTCAAAATTAAGGCTACTTTAAAAAATTTGCTAATTTCTGGGATGTTCACGAGAGTAAATCTAGACCCAATTGGAATTTCTCCCCCAAAAACCTCCAAAACTTGCTGTTTGAATGAAGAACTATTTTTTTCATCACCAATAGGCAAATACATTGTGATAGATCTGAAAGGAACAAGTGCAGATGCTGGAAATATAAAATGAAACCCAAAAGATGAAAATCCATAGCAGATCAACTAGCCTCTGAAAGAGGAATACAACTGAATGCCTCAGGATTAGGTGATGACTGGGAAAGCGAACCAACTTAGCCTAAGCTAGTGACTAAAATACGTAAAGCCTGAATTTTTGCAAGTAAAGAAATACTTCAGTGCAGCAAGCATAATTATTTGATGCTGCTGCAGGTTAGCTCAGGGTTCAGAACCAGAATTTTGCTACATTAAATAAGTGCACAAGTGTCACAGAGTAAAGCACCTGCTTAATTGTGACGCAAATTTTTTTTAAACATTTTTCTGTTAAATATATAAAATATTTAAACATTGGGTTGAATACTGGCTTTGGAGAGACCTCATGAAACCTAGAGACAGAAACTACCAGAGTGACTTTGTTCTTGTATTTTACACAGAAGCGCTGTGCGAGGGTAAAGGAGAAGCCTGCCACACATATACAAGCTGAAATATCAGAGGTCATGTAGAAAAAAGCAACAATGAAAAGCTACAAAATATTTTCATTGGTAATTGCAGAGCACACAGTTCACTACAGTGTTTTACAATTGCCCTCAACCATTACGGCTGTGGTTTGCATACTGGAGGACAGAACTGCATTGCCAGGTCTCAGTATGGAGTCAGACAGACTTGCTGAACTACCAATGCCTTGTATTATTAGAAACCTCTCTAGCTTTGCCAGCATTGCCTCCATAGAGTAGTTCAATCCAAAGAATACTCCACTCGCCTATGAGGGGAATTGTTTGATAAGATACTTAATTTATAAATGTAGAAAGGATGCAAAGTGTGGTTCTCGACTGATTCAGTGATCTGTGAATATTAAAACTAGAGTGTATGTGCAGCTCAATACATCTTCGTTTATAATTTTACCAGAATGAAAGGTCATCTTCACCAGTACAGACATTATACTAGTCCTCAAAGGGTCAATATATTATGAATATAAAATGTCAAAGATAAAGCTTCTGAATGTATGTTTTCTTTTGATTAAAATTTTAAATTAAAAAAACCTTTATCTCAATTTTCACTTGATAAACTGTTTGCTTGTTTAGACTCAGGAATATGAAGCCCCAGTTACAAATATTTGAACAATTAATTGAAAAGAAACCTTTTATTTCATGTTTATTTATCATGAATATCTAAATATCTGAACAGATTAAGTTTCAACAAGAGAATTTGTTGTTACAGATATAAACGGCATGTATTGATCCTCACCAAGAGAGTAGTAGCAAAGATCATTACATGCAAGTCAACATTTGGATGGCAGGTATCTTTGTCCTTCCTGATCAATTTAAGTTATTAAAGGGGCAGCAATAATTCTATTTCTAAAACTAAAAATGGATTCAGAATTTGTTTGACCTCAATTATTATTTTTAAATAAATCAATAGTTATGTGTTCCATAAAAAGAAACTTATTACAAGTTTACAAATAGATTTTGCATATAATAATCCTTGCATTTGATATTGTGCCTTATCACGCCTTTATGATGTCTCAAAGCAATTCACAGAATATACTGTAAAGTGAATTGACTGTACATTTTGTGGGCGAAAAGCAGCAGCCAATTGCACAATAGTGTCCCAGAAAGGTCTTGGATTGAGTGACCAATTTATTTTTTGAAGTAATTTTTACACCCGGAAAAGCGATCCGCCAATCGACTAACAACCGGATTCCTACTTATTGCTAGGTAAATAAAGGTGTGCGAAGTAAAGAAACTTGCCCAACGTTTCGCCCTGCCAAACCCAGGTCTCTCGCTGGCGAATTGAACTACAGGATTCCTTATACTGCATAAGGATCACAAATTAGTTTCTGAAAATGGGGAAAATATGCTTCCTGACAGTGAGTTCATCAATCATTAATTCTCTTTCAATGTGAAAAGAGGGAATAGTGAATTTATGTAAGCTTCTTACAATCTGCATGTTATTCACAACCTCAAAGCAACCAAACTTCCTCTCCCCTCCCCCCCTTTCCCTTGAGGTATTTTAATTTCCCCACACCATATCTCCCTGTATTTAAAATTGACTAAAGTTGTCCCTTTTTCTGGGTTTCAGTTTTCAAGCAATTAGAGCAGTCTGAAGACACAGTAGTAACAGCAGTGTTTTCGTTTGATGGTAATGAGTGTAGTTCTTGGGTTGCCAATTGCTCTCGCTTGACTGTCAGACTTCTAATGAGTTTCTTCAGTTCTGGGCTCAAGCTCCCGAAAGCAGTGTGTAATAGAAGCTGTATACCATCCAACACGTCACCATACTGTAAGAACATCTGCCATCTTAGCAGTATTGGTAATGAATGTGGAGAAATCAACAGAATGAAGGTGAAAACTAAAAGGTTAAATCAATGGATATGGTTCAAACGTAGTTTCAATTCTCCAAAATTGTTTCAAAACCTTAACACTTAGTGTCTGAAGAATAAGAGTACTTATGACAAAAGGGAAAGAAATATGAAGCTGAACTGGGGTTGAAATAGAAAGTGTTGTTAATAGCTAACCAGTCTGATTCATGAATAAGTCTTAGAGGTCTACGGCATTGGGCTAGTTTAGTGTAACTTCATTTTTTTCCCCACATTAATATTTTAAATATTAATTTAAAGTTTTGACTGCGCCTTTGGTGGTCTTTCTCACCCTCCCCCTGGATCGGTCCCGGGATCCGGTACTGTAAAGCGCTCTGAGACGCCGTCCGGCATGGAAGGCGCTATAAAAATCCAAGTTGTTGTTGTTAAATGGAAACATCTAATGAGGCAACTAAAAAAATCAAAGCAATTGTATGCAGAAAACCAAAAATAAAACCTTTCCTGTAGCATTGACGATGAAACATTTCTTAATGTAGGTCATCTTTAACTGGTTTGTAACGCCTCGCCAAAAAGAAGTTATTTATAATGTTAACAAATATCATACAATATTTATATTATCTAAGTTAACCAAAATCAATAGATTACTCTTGAAAATACCTAGTAAATATGACTCCATTTCAGAAATCAATGACCATCTAACCAAAAGGAAGGCTAAATAACTTTGACCACACTTAACAGAATTGCATCTAGAGTGCAATTGTTGTTTGGGGATAAAAAAAACCTGACAGCAAACCAGGATGTGGTAAACCATTGCATTGTACAAAGTAATGTGGAGTCCTGTAGCTCAGTGGTTAGAGCACTCGCTTTGCAAGCGAGAGACCTGAGTTCAATCCCAGGCAGGGCGAAACCTTGGGCAAGTTTCCTTACTCCATACACCTAATAATAATCCCTCCAAAAAACCCCAAACAATAATAAATTGGTCATTTTCAATCTACGACTGTTTGTGGGACATTGCTGTGCACAATTGGCTGCCGCGTTCGCCCACAAATATACAGTCAATTCACTTTACAGTTTGTTGTGTGAAGCGCTTTGGGACGTCCTCGCGACGTGAAAAGCGCTATATCAAATGCAAGGATTATTATTATTATTATTATTTGTTCTATTCTCCCTCCCCCAACAATGGTCAGCGAGAAATGCGTTTTTTTAAAAAAAACTTTCTGAGGCTGCATTTACTTACAAGGAAAAAAGGTGAACTAGCTCCTGACCTACTTTTACTTCGAATTGTAGGCATTACCCTCCACCACCTGCTGCCTGTTTGTCCCTCGTGCCCTCTTCTCCATCATCCGCGGCTGTGCTTTCAGCCACTGCGGCCTGAAACTGGAACTGTCTCCCTTAATCCCTCCACCTTGCCCTCTCCCTCCAATTTAAAATCCGGCCTGAAGACCTTTCTTTTTGATTGTTCTTAGACACCTCCCCCTTCCCTCTCGCCCTGGCTTGGTGTCAGACTCTGCCACTGTCAAGCGCTCGAGGACACTTCCCCGCGTGAAATGCAAGGATTATTATTATTATTGTATTAGTTTTGGCTTGCAATTTGCTTTTATCCACCCAGTAGTATCCATGAAATCTAAAGAACATTACGTCATTGTTCAGATATATTAGGACGCAAATTCTGTTTGTCATCCTCTTAAATCTCAGCCGAAACTACTGCGTGTTTGTAAGCCCAGAATAATTACTATAAATCTGACAGCAAATTACCCAAAACTACATTGCATGGTTTACACATGGATTTTGGACAACACTAAATAAATGCTGCTCTAGACATTACTAGAGCCATTAAATCACAATACATTTGTATCACTTTATTTTGTGCACTTCAAATATACATAGCTCTGAACAGTTACCTTTAATATATTAATCTGAGGTTTGCAACTTTGTTGTACATCAGAAAGTGAACAGGTATCTGAAATATTTACTTTTATATTACTTTAGTATGCTTCAACGGTCTTTGAATGAATTAAAAATACTTACCCAAAGTGGCAGTAAATAAACTAGAATACTACACTGTATTGTACCTTGATTAAAATTACAGGAAATCCATCAGAATGTATTAATATCACTGAAAGCACACAGAACGTTTGATGTTTTAATACATGCAAATATAAAACGCACAGTCTTCCACAAAATCAATTAAAGTTTCTGATCGAAGGAAGCTCCCAGTATTCGTTTGACTGTTTTTTTTAAATGAGAGCACAAACAGGCACATGTGCATATATTTGTTGAATTGAATTGCGTTCCCAAGGAGGAATTATCTCCTTTTCACAGCTCCACTCTTGCCAGACTTATTGCCACTTCCAGATTTAGATGATTTGGAGGAAAAAAGTCGAGTCATGAACTCTGAAACATCTGGCAGCTCATGGTTGGGGTTTAACATGTTCATAGACTGTTCCATCTCCTAGAACACAAAGTTGACAGACTGTTAATTGTCAACGCCCAGAAAGAGAGCTGAATTCCTGCATTTATACATACAAAAACTATGGTACTGGATACAGCATTGAGACACTGGTAACCATTTCACCTATGTAAGGGCCACAGTTTGCATGTGCATTAACGTATACAGTAAACTCCTGATAGCTCCAAGGGAAAAGGGCTCCATGACAAGTTATCCCAAGTGGCGAGATAAGCATATTATGTATAAATACATCATAAATGCAGCCAGGGATATTGACAGCATGGTGACTTAAGTGGTTGTGATCAACTTAAGCCAGGGTTGAGTTATGAAGAGTTTATTGTATTGTGTACATAAATAAATATGTAGACCATAAATATGTGTGGTACACCAATAAAAGTGATAAAAACAAAATGGTATATCCAATGGACTACACTCTCCCATTGCCAAACAGGAGTTAACCCAAAGTGCACTTGCCACTGTAGCCTGTAGTCACTTGTAACACCAGCATTCATGATCTCTAATACTGTACTGTAAATAGCTTGCACACTAACAATCCATCTTCCTTAGTCTTCTTTAGCAGGACAGGATAATCTGAACTAATAGAAGATGACCTATTCAAAATTTCAGAGCAGAGAATGCCAACAGGTGAGTTTGTTTTCTTCCCAGGAAATTAACATTCAGATTTATCCATCGAGTACTGAGCAGCAGAACAAAGAATCGATGAAATATCTACAACTGAAGCAAATGACCAAATTATCAGGTAGACTAGGGAAGGAGTATTCCACTAATTTTGAGAGTCTGCTTAAAACTTTGCTATTAATAAATTAAAATATCATGATTTGTGTAAACCACTTTTGTAGAATATTCATACTAAGCTTGCAGAATCTCTTGACATGATTGTGCACGTTACTATTCATAACTTGTTCAACAGATTATAAAACAAGCAGAATGTAGGGAAGAACTACCTCTAAAATGTGGTTCAGCTTTCTTGGACTTCAACCAACAAGTTAGCTCTTTTTCAAAGTTTACCAATAGCTTATTTTGCACCATAACAATTTAATTACAATCTTACTCTGAACTTGTACAAACTTGCAATGATACATACAAATACAAAATACAAAAACTACCTTGATCCAACTTTTCCATCATGTATTTTTCAATCACAATGCACACCAATCAATCACTTCACTGATAATGGGTCCAGTTTTTAGAAATTACTAATACTCTATGTAAACTTTTTCAAATCTAACAATGGAATTTATTTATTTTTCAGCTAAGCACTCTGCATACTCACCCTTCGCATCTCAGGATCATTGGTATTGACTACTTTAGGCAGGAGAAGGATGATTAGCAATGGAAGAACCATCATTATTACCTGTGGAGAAAAATAATTCAAAAAATCATGCATATACAATAAAAATCATGACCAGCTATGCTTCACATTATTAAGGCAGAAAAACATGAATCAAATTCTGAGTCAAAATATAATCTCTGAAGTTAGAATTCTGGTTCAAAATAAACAGGCACAAATATCAAAACAGACAACAGTTCATGTCAAAATTCAAAACCCCTGTGTGCAAATTAGCTGCTGCCTTCACCTACAAATACAGTCACTAACTACACATGAGAAACCTCTGCAAAGCACCGAGATTTGTCAATAGGAAATGGTTCTATATCAAATGCAAGAGTTGTTTTTATTATGAATAAAAGAGAGGAGTGAACTGGAAGAATACTGATTGCTTGTTCATTTCAGGGAATCATTTTTTTAATGAAAACCACACTCCAGCATCACTGATTACAAGGTAATACAATGACAGCTTTCAATTCCTGGTCTGTGGTGATATGGCCAAACTCTGCTGTGATTGTGATGAGGGCCCTACAACTGATCTTAATACCCCATACTCTGAAGCACAAAAATAACTTAAGATTCATACTCTTGATCGATCAGTAAACCTTCCTGGGAAAGACCATTTTTCGGTACTTGAATGAGGACAGTATCAGGTTCAGGTAACAGTATCCTTCCCTTCCTCCTCCAAAGTTAAATAGTCTAAATAGGCCACTGTCTAGATATACATTTGGGAGAAACCTCAAGATAAAACTGTGAATTTAATTAATTTATCTTGGGAAACCTCAAGTTTCTTTAAAACTGTACAGGTTACAATACTCTAAGTTACCCACCATCAACAAAGCTGCTTCTGAAATTATTCTCTCTCTCTCTCTCTCGCAATTTATTCTCAATCACATCAATGTATGTGTCTCCTCCAAGACTGTAAAGGCCCTTTATTGACTGTGCTATGGTAGCATTTGTGTGGTCTAGGGAAAAGTGCCAATGCTCAGTGTGCAAACAGAAGTCACACAGTCTTGGAAAAACAACAATTCAGGCACCAGCTGAACATCACATGAATTTACCCTTCCTCAATAACAAATTTAAAACGTTCTTACTTCAAAGCAGAAGTATTTTCACAGAGAAACCTAGTGTTAATCAGTAAAACACACTGGTCCTTTTCTCAGTTCAGGATAAATTGCAATTAAAAAAAAATTTCAAGTATGATATCTACTTACCATAGGATTCATGAGGAAATCTGACCATCCCCAAGTTTCTCTCTTCATGAAGTATGGAGGAGGTCCAGCAGATTTGATTTGGATAGGATAAGGTAACCGAATAACTTCAGATGCCTTTAAATAGTTCACTTGTCTTGCTCTTGTAAAGGAGAGAAAGCGAGAGAAAAGTGAAAGCCCTTTTCTTGCCAATAAATTAATTACAGAATACAATCTCCTCTTCTGACAAAACTGCTATCTAACTGCATGCTTTATTCCTGTCTAACCCCATGACTTTAAGTGGGAACATTCCTAATTCTCAACACAAAACATTTCCTTCTCTCAAAACAAATTCAGAGTTCTAACCAAAACAATGCAGGTTTCAGATGCCAACTAACCATCTGTGCAATTCATTTTGTTTTGGTATATACATGCAGGCTGAAATATACACTATCAGTTGTTTGTATAATTCCCATAGCCAGAAGTGAATCCATCTCTCTGATTGACAAGCCGATTCTGGTAACGTAGATCTGTACTTCTCCAAGTCCTGGCTGCTGATAGTAACATTTCACATCAATTTTAATTATGTCAAAATAACTTTATTACACAATACATTTCCTCATGAAGGAAATGGTGACGGAGTTGCACTTAGAATTGATTCTCACCTGATTTTACCCTTGGAGGTTATGTCTATTCGCACAGGTTCAAATCTATATGCTGGTGATACGACCTCCACCACATATGAACCAGAGGGAACATCATTTACAGTGAAAGTTCCATCTGTCCTAAAAATAAAAATACAACTGCATAAGTAGAGTTAGATAACTCGTCAATTTTATCGATGTTCATGGTCAAGATTCAAACACAAATAATGACCACTTGGGCGAGGTTGCAAAGAGTACCTGGTGTCAATGGGGAAAAAAAGGAGTAAAACAGCTTCAGAAGAGAACAACGAACATACCCCCACTAACACAGTATAATACCGATTTCTGTTTCCTTTTGATTAAAGATCCTGCTTTGCAGTGATGTGTACACAGCCCTGTTAATATGTAACATTTTCTCATTTGAAGTAAAAATTATTCATTTGGGGCTGAAAAGGAACCCTCTGTTAAATTCCATCACTTAAAAAATTAAACATAGTGGGGGTGACATTTGTTTCAGTGGGTAAAACTCCACCAGGTACAGAGCCATACATGCACACACACACACCAAGTACTCTGGTTCAATCCCTGGTCTGAGGTAAGTTTGTTGAGCTGGGTGTAAATAATAATAATCCTTGCATTTTGATACCGAGCCTTATCACATTTTCTAGACATCTCAAAGTGCTTCACAGAATATACTGTAGAGTGAATTGACTGTATATTCTGTGGGCGAAACGCAGTTGATCTCACATATCCCCAGGATTGGGTTCCTGTCCTGATACAGTTCAAGAAACCCTTTACCGAAAATGTTTGTGGAACTCAGAACAGGATCAGACTCAATTGTAATCTCCTTCCTCGGGCTATGACTCACAAGAAGCAGAGACGGATGCACAGACTTCCTGTAGCGCTTCACATACTTCTCTTTCCTGGCCCTAAACACAATTAATCCTCAACTGCCATTTCCCGTCACCAATTAGCCAACCAATCCACATTATCTATCCACAAATCTAAAGCAAGTCAGCACCGACACGGTACGATGAGCGAGAGAGCAGCTGCGACCAGGGGAAAAAGGTTCGGACGCCCTATCGGGGAGTTTTGTCGTTTTTTGCGTCAAAATTGAGCGATCTGACGGCAGTCGCTCGCGAAGCAGCTTCGAAGGCGTGATACGGCGCTCTATCAGAAATGCAAGAATTATTATTATC